TTAGAGAGATTAGAAAGGAGAGAGGGAAAAAGAGACACACGCACACTGCTGCTCTAACTGCTGTGCAAACCGGCCAGGGCTCTTTTCATTTTCTTGATAGTGTTCTTTGAAGTGCAAAAGTTTTTAATTTTGATGAAGTACAATTTTTTAATTATTTTATCATCTGCCTTAACAAACATTTACACTTTCCCAAAATAGTAGACTTTTATAGTAGGTTCTGTACAAAATCATTTTCTTTACTAGAAAACTAAGCGAACTTTTAGAAATACTTACTAAATCCAATCTAGATTTATTTTATCCCAGTTGTATTAAATGTACGTTCAATGATTGGAACAGAGTTCTGAGAAGTAGCTGGATGGCCAAGCTTGTGTCAGTGGAAATTATTTTAGCTACATTTTTCATTTAAAGAAAAAATTTTTCTCAACAGCTGATTTCCATTTTATATTAGAAAAATACTCTGTGGACTGTGGTCACTACCAATAATACTTCTCATTGTTGGGAAAGCTCTTGTGAAACATTTCTCAAGCACATAGAATGGTAAAATATAAAACATAGTAATTAAGATTTGTGTTCTATCGATTGTGTAGCTAAAGTAATTTTTCATTACTAACATAAGATTTAATAAATATAAGTAGTTAAAGATTCTGACTTGGCACTAGTCATTAGCATGTAATTGAACTAGTAAAAAAGATCAGTTAAAGCTGTGTTGATTACCACCTTATCTTTGAAAGGCAATTAAAGACCTCAATCATTGCAACAAGATTTGATTGTGCAGCCTTTATTGGACATTGATCTTTCAGCAAAGTGCAGTTACATTTTCCATTAATTTACAGTAACACAGTTTAACTTTGATACCCTAGATGGTTGACCCAGGTGAGATGTAATGCTAAGTACTTGTTTAGGTTAAGATGCCCCCAAATGTCATTACAGTCTGAATGGCAAGTGCTGAAAAAAAAAAAGTAGATACCTGATCCAGTAGGATAAAGTTTCTGTTATCTGCATTAGCTTTAAATGAAATGAAACCGAGGTCCTAGCTTTATGTCACCCCTCATTCAAACATCATTCATTCTTTAATAGAGTTATTTCATGAAGAATTCTAAATGTTCTGGGATTATAGTTTTGAGTGAATATAAATGACACAAAATAAGGTGTATATTTAAAAAGAGACATAGCCTTGGCCAGTTTGGCTCAGCGGTTAGAGTGTCGGCCTGCGAACCAGAGAATCCTGGGTTCGGTTCCCGCTAAGGGCACATACCTCGGTTGCAGTTTGTCCCTGGCCCCGGCTGGGGTCGTGTGGGTGGCAATCACTCGACGTGCCTCTCTCACATCGATGTCTCTCTCTCTCTCTCTTCCTCCCGCTCTATCTGAAGATGAATGTAAAAATGTCCTCAGGTGAGGATGAAAAAAATAAATAAAAATAGAAAGATACATATGGCTTTTAAGAAAGACAATTGTTTCAATTTTTACTGAAGTCAATAATATATTAGTGACTAAATACATGATAAAAGAAATAGTAACTATTTGTATACTTTGGTATGTTAAGACATTAGCACTGAGAAACCAGGGATTTTTTTTTTTAATTTTTTTTTTTTAATCCTCACCTGAGGACATTTTTACATTTTTTTTGTTCAGATAGAGTGGGAGGGAGAGAGAGGGAGAGAGAAGGAGAGAGAGGGAGAGAGAGAGAGAGAAACACCGACATGAAAGGGACACATCGAGTGGCTGCCACCTGCAAGACCCAACCAGGGCCGGGGACAAACTGCAACTGAAGTACATGCCCTTAGCGGGAACCGAACCCGGGTCTCTCAGGACCACAGGCTGACGCTCCAACCGCTGAGCCAAACCGGCCAGGGCGAAACCTGGGATTTTTATATTAGCAACTTCTGTCATGCTCTAGACTCTGTTATTTCATCTTTATAGTGGTTCACCACTTACACAAGAACCAAGAATTTTGACTAGATATTTTTTCCAATATTGAATAATTGATTTGTAGAGAAATAACAATAGAAGAGATACACAATTTTATATAAAAACACACCGTTAAAAAATAGTTTTGCTTGGATTATTTTAAAGGCAAAATCCCATTAAAGAAGTATAGGCAAAAAAAGCTGTCTTCATTTGTTTCATTAACTAAGAAAACTTCTTGTATCTAGAAGGGCAGGTCCACCTGGCACCCTGCTTGCCCTCTCAGGCGTAACCGGTACGTTCAGATACACTTACACAAAATGCCATCCTTGTGTCTTCTTTCTTCCTCTCACATTGTTTTAAATTTTGTTATTAATGAAGCTTTTAAAATATAAATATATATGGAATAGAGAAATGAGGATTGCAAAAACAGCTTTTATTGAAGTAAAAGTAAAGCTACATTTGCTTATAAGCATATTCATGATACATTTTAGAGTAGAAAGGTTTCTTGTTTTGTCCTTCTCAGATTACAGGTGGAAAAATAGAACACACAAAGGAATAGTAGTTATTAGCCTGGGATTAAAAGACAGCACTGATACAAAAATATAATCAGTCTCCTGACTTCCAGCATTTATACTTACCCCTTTTAGGCCACAATGCTGCCATGTAATATACATATTTAAAGAAAAAAACTTAAACCATTACTGTTCAATGGGTAGTATTTTTTTTCAGACTAAAAGGTTTACCACAAGACTTAATAAATCCAATGAATGATATTTTAATATTTGAACCATGTCCTTAGCCATCACTGAGTTCATCCTTCACCATGATCAACTCCATGAGAGCAAGAGGTCTATTGATTTTCATGTAATACAAGAAAATATTACATTTGTTTAATTGTTACACAGTGAGCACATCAGACAAGAAATCAAGACTCTATTTAATGCTGCAAGCAGCAGAGAATTACAGAGATCAATATGGTAGTTTGTCAAAGATGTTCTCCAAGGAGACTTACCTATCACCATATGGACAAGAAGTCATACTGACTATAGCTATTGAAAAACAGGTAAGCAGAGTCAGCAGTACAAATGATCAGAAATCAAAGAAGTGCAACTCTACTGAAAAGCTGTATTTATAGTTTGGTAATTAAAAACCATTTTATCAGCCTTGTGTTGGGACCAAACCTTTACAACAAGTATTGACAAGAGGAGCAGCAATGAATGAGCAGTATTTGACTTAAAACTTATGAGCTATAGTTATTTAACTTTGCCCATTACAGAGGAAATCAGTTTAGCCTTCCTTGCTAAATGTTAATAGTCAGTTTTATTATTAATGAAGCTTAATGTAACACTATCTCCTTTGTGTAAGCCATCCATTTAACTAATGTCAAGTATATTCTTCTGGACTACATATATTGGCGTAAGTACTCCTTTGATTAAAGTGTTACTTAGAATTGCTTTTAGACAAGTGAACAGTACATATATTTGAAGAACATGTCACTCTCTGTAGCTCATTTAAAATGACTACCTTTAACAAAGCCTATTTGTATTACTTCATCATTCTGGTGTACTCACCTCAATCACTTCCACTCACTTTCTCTACTGATTTGCCGGAAGCAAGCATCCAAATGTTGGTTAGATTGAATCTTATAAAATATTTTGCTACAAAATGTGTAAATGTTGTAGAGTATCAGCAACACATTAACATAAAATGATATATAATGTATGTTTGTAATTATGGGAGGGATCATAAATCTTAAACACCCATTGGTTTAGAAATTAAATAGTTCTACTTAGTTCTCCCTAAATTACTCCAAATTTCTGAAATTTACCATTCGTCTGGGTATTTTGTAACTACCCCCAAGGATAAATTTTTTAAATTACTTTGCTTTCAAAAAGGCAATTAACTTAATAAAATTCTAATGCAAAACTGCCATCAGGTCTTTAAAATTTCAGCCTACTTCCCATCACCAGTAAGTCTATAGATATGTACCATTTCAGCTAATTGCTTTTATAAAGTTATCAAATTTATTTTTCTGGGTCTTTCTGGATCTTAATTGTTCTTACTGCTTTATCAGCATACTATTTTAACTTTTAATAAGTCTTAATTTCATTCATCTTGCTGCATTTACATTAACCAGTGTTGTTATTATGGTTGGTATTGGATTCTTTGGGCAATAAGAAAATAAACAAACAAAACAGAGACTAACTCATAGACACAAAGAACAGACTGACAGCTGTCAGAGGGGAGGAGGGTTGAAGGCTAGGTGAAAAAGGTGAAGGGATTAAGAAAAAAAAAAAAACCTCATAGACACAGACAACAGTATGGTGGTTACCACAGGAAGGGGGGGTGGGAAGAGGTTGGAGAGAGTAAAGCTGGAATAACTGGTGATGGAAGGAGACTTGACTCGGGGTGGTGAACACACAACACAATATACAGATGACGTATTTATAGAATTGTACACCTGAAACCTATATAATTTTATTAACCAATGTCACCCCAATAAATTTAATAAAAGTTTTAAAAAATGTTTACCTCTTATCCAGGTAAATGGTACAGGAGCTTTAACAAATTTCCACTTAAAATCCTGGCCACTGAATGGTTTAGATTTCAGATTGTAAATAGAATTCTCATCAACTTTGGATTTACTAATGATATTCTATTATCCCCACAATATATCCTAAAATCTATTTTTCCAATGTTATATAAAAGATTTTTCCCTTCCTTTTTTGTGTGGGTATCTATATTTTCTCTTCAAAGAGAATTTGTTAATACCTAACTAGACTCTATATTTGTTATAATCATTTTTATCTGAAGTTTAATATAGTTCTAGGAAAAAATTGGTATAAGTGTCATGTGTTTCTAGTTCCCATTAGCTAAATGGATAGAGTATGCAATATATAGCAAAATATGAAAAGCTTTGCCTCTTTTTTTTTGGTGGTACGTGCCCCTAGCGGGAACCAAACCCAGGACTCTGGTCCACAGGCTGACGCTCAACTGCTGAGCCAAACTGGCCAGGGCGTAAATCTTTGCCTCTTGAGGGCCATCATTCATCTTAAAGAACCAGACACTGAAGAAAGAACAAGATGTTTGCAAAAGTTTTATTTTAAAGGATCAAAAATAAATATTGTACATACACACAAGAGAAAATCCACTAATATTTATGTTCTCCAATGTACACTTTCAATACATGGCACCTTCATCTTCTTTATTTAGAAAATAAACTGTTATTGGTCCATAACTGGTATGCACAGTCTCTGTGACTCTAGCAAATAACCAGGAGCCAAGTCCATATAACAAAGTTGGAATACCTAAAAAAAAAAAAAGAATATGTTATTTCTGAACATCAATACTTATTAATCATGCACTCATATATTTGTCATGCTACAGATCACATAGCACTCTTTAGCAATGTCAACAAATTATAGAATTATAAAAACATGAGTAAATATTGACTTCATCTAAGACTTCAATTTCATTTGTTTGTGGAACATGGTAACAATTGTGTGAACCTAGAGATTTTTAAATCTAAAGATATGGCTGGTATACATTTTAATTCAAAGTACTTTACAAGCATTAATTCATTACCTCCAAGTAATTATGAAGTAATTCTATTTTCTTTTCACAAATAAGCAAACAGAGAACATTCATTAATTTAGTTATAAATACTCCTGGTTGAGCTTAAATCACTAGGTCAACTTTACTGTACTTTAAGTTAGACAGTAACACTGATGGCTAAACTAACTTTTTTTTTGTCCTCATCTGAGGACAGTTTTGCATTTTTCTTCAGATAGAGCAAGAGGGGTGGGGAGGGAGAGAGAGAAACATCGATGGGAGAGAGACACATCGACTGGTTGCCACCCACATGACCACAACCAGGGCCAGGGACAAACTGCAACTGAGGTACATGACCCTTGCGGGAACCGAACCCAGGACTCTCTGGTCCACGGGCCGACACTCTAACCGCTGAGCCAAACCGGCCAGGGCTAAACTAATTTTTTTTGTATAACTTAAAAGAAACTGGGTCAAATATCTGTCTTCAAAACTAAGGCAAAACCTAACTCTAAGGAAAATATTAGTATAATTAGTATAATAACAGGCATGAGAAATGATCCCACTAGTATTTTTACATTTGATTTGAAAAAAATCTTGTTACAACCTATTTGAAATAGGTACATAATAGACTTCAACATGTTTATTCCTTGGAATATTTCCATTTGATGAGATTTTGCTGATATATTTGAGATTAGTTGACATTTGTGATAAATGAAACTAAACATATACTACACTGAGATTTGGATATGCATATGAGCACTCATATGCATATGAGACTGCTGGACACAAACTTTCACAACTATCTTTTTAAGGCATTTATTTAAAACCAATTACCATTAACATATTAAAAACATAAGTATAAAACCATAGGCACATGAATCAATAACAAATATTGTATATCCTATACAAGTATTAATTTTATTTTTCCTGTACAGGGATTGAACAGAAAATGACATTTGAAAGAAGGAGCTGTACATGTGGTAAATCATTTTCTTTCTAGTTAATAGGAAAACCAACACACATTCAGGACTAATATTGCTAACTTTTTTTCTTATTTTTCTGCAAGAGTATATTTGCTGTGTTATGCTCTTTTTAAGTGTATAAGTACACTGAACTACTTTGTGCTTATTCCCTGAAGCTGCATTCCAGCCACTGTAATGCCAAAGATTAATCAGGAGAAGCATCACTAGCTGGCAATGAGAAGAGGCAAAAATGCCCATTTAAGCGGTACCTCTCTATTTTTAGGAATATACTGGGTCACAGCTTGTCACTATCACAGAGTTCCCTGGAACTCCTATGAAATCTCTTACAGTATATTACCTTCTTTGCCTTGGTAATACCCCAAAGAATCTCTCAATGCCCCAAGGGAATGTCACAAACTATCCAAAAACACTAGCAACATAAGGCTATTTATAACTCATTTAACCAAAAAGGAAAAAAAAAAGGCAAGTGGGACAAGGGGTCAACGAGTGGACAAGAGAAGAAAAAGAACAAGCCAGGTAGAGGTAAGCGAAGAGTAGAGGGAGCAGTTGAAATAAAAAATAAATTTAAAATATGATATCACAGCTTCAAAAGCTGAAAACGAATGAAGGTAGGAAGAAAAACAGGCTGTAGAAACAATTATTAATTTTCTAAATATACCGACAGTATAATATATAAAATACACCTTTTAAACCAATTCTAAGGACATAAGGAATAGATGGTGACACTGAAAATTGTGTTTGTTTTGTAGTATTTACCACAGTTTCCAGTTAAATGTTGACACTTAAAAAAAAAAAATCACACAAATAAATGGTTAATATTTTTCCAGCAAAAATGGAGGACTGATCAAAGATTACTAGTTTAGTAACAACATTATCTCTTATTAAAAATCAACTAAGATATACCAGTAATGCTAATGGAGTTCTGATACAGGAGTCAGAAATTCTATATATATTTTTTCCTGCAGTCTATTTAACACAGTCAGGCTAATACACTATATGAGAAGAGTTGCCACTTATACTGTATAATTTACACATTAAAAAACATAATTTTCTTTATAGTACATACGCTTTAGAGTCTATAAGATTCTATGAAAAATTAAAAATTTTCCAGCCTGTCTGAAACATATCATAACATCCATATTATGGAAAGTCAGTTCTTTCCATAATAATTCATTTTGAGTCAGCTGAACAGTAGGTAAACAAACCACTGTCAAATTAAACACTTTAAAAAAATTAGAACTTCATAGCAAGTCTCTGATTACCCATTCATTCCAATGGTAAGTTGCTTTTCTTAAATCTCAATCTACTTCCCAGCAGGATACTCAGACTGATAAACCATCAGTAAAATGTCAGCTTCCACTGAAGGAAAGGCGGAGGAGAAAGAGAACAAATGGGTAAGAAAGAAATCTTTATGATTTACAAAATGGAAAAATGAATTACTCTAGTAATTTCTAATTTGGAAGGCAGGAAGACACATAAAATTCTGAGTATTTTAATCAATAGACTATGTACTTGATGATCCAGAGGGGTAGTTGTACATCAGAGAGGAAAGAATCCTACTTTCTAATTCACATTCCTAACCTTCAGACAAAAATACAAAATACATTACCAAATTGGTGAGTAATTACTCTTTACAAAGTTCATAAATAAATTGTCTTTATCAGTATAATCCAATTTGCATTAAAGCATGCATGAGCAGAAAGTTTTCCGTTTTAACTTAAAACTCTTATTCCGAGCTAAACAGGATTTTTAGGATTTCTGAAAGACCACAAAGACCATTCAATCACTCTTCGTTAGACCTTCCCTTCCACATTAAAAAAACAACAACAAAAACTGCGACTGCTGTGTCTTTCTTCAAAATGTTTTTCTTTTCTATGTGAGAATGTTCTGGGTATCCTACTTTTCTTTAAATTTCTACCTTAAAAAAAAAAAAAAAGAAAAAGCCCCTATTTATTAAGGTGTTCTAAAGTGTTTGGTTTTAAACAGTGAAAACTTTTAAAAAAGGCATTCGGCTCATGTTATACTTTTTCTCCCGTTATACTCCTCCTAACTTATTACTCTTTTCATTTGGGAAGAATTTTTTTTTTTCTGATTCTGAAAATGCTAAAGTAAAATTTTTTTTAACACTTATTTTTCTTGAATCTAGTCATCATGTCAGTCTTTCCAAATAACTATGAATTGAATTATCTAAGTCACCTCACCCTTTCACCTTAGCCTCAGAATTAGTGGGCATGCTCTATATAGTCCATCAGCCAGACAATAAGATATATTTTTTAAAGGATTACACATTACTACATACTCTGCTCTTTATTGGACTGAACCCAGGACAATCCCAGTGGAGCAATGGCTCAAAACCCCATGAGTGACATATGTGAGTTATTATACACATACCATACCATATTTAAATTTAATGAGTGATCAAACTATGTAACACTAGTGCAGCTGCTTTAGCTTTAATTCTAGTTTTAAAAAACTGTTTGGGTAACAAGGTTCAGCTCCCACGTCAAGATTCTGAATTACTAAAATCTGGCCTAATTTAGTATCAGCTATTAATAGGTTCAAAACATCTTGAGGCCTATTTTTCACTGACCTATAAAAGATACCCCATGTCAATCAATGTCCTGTCATTAACCAAAAGAAAATAAACATCCAGCAGGAGTAAATACTCTCAGAATTAGAATAGTCCCATGAAAACCTACAAATATTAAAGAGGCAGAATCTTTCAAATATCTTTTAGGCCAAGCACCCGAATATGACTGGTAAAAACCTTTGGCGCTGTTAGTAAAAGGAACTTGCTGGCATTTCATATAAAGAAAACAAAGCAACTTAAAAAGTAGTTCCAATTTTTAGAATATGAACGCACACACAAAGTGATGTTCATGGGGGCAAATCCTGCCATGCAATGAGGCATTTTTTTATTTTATTTTTTAACGTCAGAGCCACTTTCCAGGGGCTTACACCCTCCTTCTTACTGCCCAAAGTAGGGGTCCTCCCAGTTAAGAGCGGCAGGAATGGGGATGGAATGAATGCTCCGTCCCCAGGGTGATCCCTTAGTCCAGGCCTGTAGATAACACCCACTTTCCGGGGGACGATTCATTAGCAACAACGTAGCCCTGATAAACTCCTGTTGGGCGGGGAATACAAAAGACCAGAGCCCTGGCCAGTGCTAGGAGGGTGCAGTGTGGTGCGGCGCGGAGGCAGTGCCTGGGAAACCAGGGGCGAGCCTGCACCGGGCGGAAACAAGACTCCCCCGGGCAACGTGGTCCGAGGCTCGGAGCACGAGGGTGTGTCAGCGTGCTTTGCACACAGTGGGGCCATCACCGGCGGGTCGAGCTTCGCCCGCCCCGGCCACTCACCGAGGTTGACGACCTTGAGCGCCGTGAAGAACCGGTCCTGCTGGGCCAGGTCCTGCCAGGGGGCCTTGGAGCAGTGATACTTGATGAAGGGGAAGCAGCCGGTGCGCAGGACGTGGTAGTTGGCACCCTGCACCGGCCAGTTGAAGTGCGAAAGGCCGAACTGGTCGTTGCGGACGGCGCTGTAGGGCACGCAGAAGGAGGTCCAGTGCGGCAGGCGCCGCTGCAGCAGGTGCCGCGTCAGCACCTCGGAGGCGCGGGGCTTCGGGCGAGAGGCGGCGCCCGAGGCCCAGGGCCGGCACAGCAGCAGCCGGAGCGCGGCCTCGTGGGCTCTCCGCAGGCCCTCCATGGCCGGCCGCGCCCGCGTCCCCCGCCCCTCCGACGCCGTGGGGCGCGCGCTGCTGGGGGCGGGGCCGCCGAAGCGCGCGCGCGCGCGCTTGTCCCTCGGGGCGAGCGGCGGGGACGCCCGACGAGCGCCGCGCGAGTGCGCGAGAGACCCGGGGAGCGGCAGCGCGTGCGCGCGAACGGCCGGCGGACTCCCGCGGAGGGAGCGGAGGGGCCAGCGTGCGGCCGGTGTGGGCCCAGTGATCCGCGCGGAGAGTGAGAGTCGGCAGCGTGGGGACGGTGGGGAAGTCGTCACTGGTGACCTCGTGCAGTCGTTAATAATCCGGGGGCTCGGGAGGTTTTATTAGTTTAGGTCTGAGGACAACTAAGGCTTAAAACAATCACTTAACCACCTTAGTGAGAGGCGGCACTCACACCCGTCTCCGAGGCCCTGGCTCTAGCGAAACCCTGCAGTGGGCGTGTCGGGGGGCACTTGGGCAGGTGTCCTCAGGAGGGAGTCGGAAGCCAAGCCCTCAGGTTTGCATCGGCTGTCAAGTCAGGGAGAATTATGTTTAGGTCTTCGCTCTGTGACATGTGAAGTCGTGTTCACGGTTTAAAATAAGTCCCAGGTATTTTAAAGTAAAAAGTTTATTAAAAAAAAAAGTCTCAGGTCTGTCGGTGTGGGGCCCGACCTCTCTCCTAAAAGCCTGGTGAACCTCAGACCAGGAATGTTTCACTTATAAACCTTTATAATCCTCAGTCACCCATTATCAAATATTACTTTAGGAATATTTGGAAAACCTTTTATTAAGCTGTGCAGCCTCTTGCGATAATTTATACACCTACTTTCTAAGGAAGCATTTTCTCTTATTTCCCTAAACTCATTTGTAGAAAGCATGTTTAAATAAGATGATGTGCCTGGAAAGCGCTGTATGCAAATGAAACAATTATGTGTAAGCAGAATATAGTTATTATTGTCGTTGAAACGCAAGAGGAATATAGAATAGTGTGGCTAGTTCTTAAATTCTAAAATTTTTATGGATTCGTTCAACAAACAGTGATTGTGCACCCACTACCATGTGCCAGATATTGAGGGGCCAAATCTTGTAATCATGCAAATAATGGGAACTTTACCTTCTAGGGTTCCCTATTAGATAATAGTTTTTAAAAGATTTTAGGTGGAGACATGATATGGTTAGATTGGCACAGAAATGACTGGAGGGAGGCTAAGACAGGAGCCAGGGAGGTGATTCAGTACTATGGGTTTTAAATTAAATTTTAAAAGCATCGGAGACCTTTTTCAAACAAAAATCTGTCACAGAACCTCAACATATAAAGTAGATGAAAACTGGTTTTATTACTAAATATTTGTAAGTTCAAATTTTCAACATTAACTTTATAGGTGAGTTGAAAAACAATGAGGCTGATTTGTTGTTGTCTTGGGTGTTTTCTTTTTGTTTTGTTTTTAGTGAAAAAGGAATTTATTGGAAGGAAATTGGGTAGCTAAAAATAATAAATAGGAAGTCTGCAGACCAAGCTCAGAAAATGTATTTTTTGGCCCCACTACCACTGGACATTGTATCTAACAATTAAAAAATAAATACATGAATACTTAGTTTTTTACAAAGCATGGAGAAATGGCATATCCCTTAGAAGGAACCTTAAAAGAGTGATACTGTGTATGGTACTTAGCATGAACATGACTATATCATGCTACTCCTAGAAAAGATTTACCCTTCTTGTTTTTTGTTTTAAAAACACCTAAGATGTTGTAAATTTTCAAAACATGCTAAAAAATAGTTCTACAAATTGATAAATTAGACTACATTAATTAAGACTTTTTGTTCATTGAAAGGCACTATTAAGAGAGTGAAAAGGTAACTCACAGAGTGGGAGAAGTATTTTCAATACGTAGATCTGACAGAGCATCTGGAATCTAGTACAAATCATTTAAAAAGATAATCCAATAGAAAGGTTGACAATATTTGAATGGATTTTTCACAAAGAAGAACATCTGAAATAAACAGTAACGGTGAAAAATGGCTTAATTTCAATTATCATCCAAGAAATGGAAATTAAAACCACGATGCAGTATCATTATACACCCACCAGAGTGGCTAAAGTAGAAAAGATAGAAAGTACTAAGTGTTGGTGAAGAACGGTAGCTATTAGAATTTTTATACACTGCTGGCAACCAATTTGGAAAAATGGTGGTGGTGGTGGGGGGAGAGTATATATTACAGCTGAATATACAGGCATATCTTTTTTTTTTGCTTTTTGATTTATTGCACTTTACAGATGTTGTGTTTTTACAAATTGAATTCAAGACTGTCCACCAGCAAAAAGATTGCCGAACCTGCAGTATTTCTGAAGTATGCCTGTATGCATTCCTGTGACCCAGCCATATCACTCCTAGATATATATTTGTATCAGTGTACTCAGGCTTCCATAACAAAATACCACAGACTGGGTGGCTAGACAACAGAAATTTATTTCTCACAGTTCTGGAGACTGGAAAGTTTAAGATTTAAATGCCAGCCAATTGGGTTCTTGGTGATTGTTCTTTTTTTGGCTTGCAGCTCCGTCTTACTGTATCCTCCCATGGCAGAGAGAGCTAGTTCTGGTGTCTGTCTCTTCCTCTTCTGATAAGGGCAAGAGCCCTTTTGACCTCATTTAACCTTTATCACTTCCTCATAGACCCTATCTCCAAATATAGTCACACTGAGTATTAAGGACTCAACATATGAATTTAGAAGGGACACAAATATTCAATCTATAATAATAACCAATAGAAATTGTGTTCATATATTCTCCAAAAGACATACAGGAATAGTCATAGCAACACTTTATGTTTTTTTAATTTTTTTAATTTATTTTTAATTTTTTTAAATCCTCACCTGAGGACATTTTTTTTTTTTTTTTTGCATTTACCTTCAGATAGAGTGGGAGGGAGAGAAGGAGGAAGAGAGAAAGAGAGAAACATTGATGTGAGAGAGACACACCGAGTGGTTGCCACCCACATGACCCCAACCGGGGCTGGGGACAAACTGCAACCGAAGTACATGCCCCCAGTGGGAACTGAACCCGGGACTCTCTGGTCCACAGGCCGACACTCTAACTGCTGAGCCAAACTGGCCAGGGCAACACTTTAGGTTTTTAATATCTGACCTAAATTACTCAGATGTCTGTCAATAGTAGAGCAGCTAGATAAATTATGGTATATTCACGTGGATGGAATGCTATAAAGCAATGAGCAGGAATGATCTAATCTAGAATCACAGTGAGCACAAATCTCACCAACATGAGTGAAAGAAGCCAGAACTATATGATTTTATTTATATAAAGTATAAAAACTGGCTACAACTCATTTATGCTGGTAGAAGACAGGGTAGTGGTCATTCTTAGCAGGGTGGGGAGAGAGGGGGCTAGTGACCAGAAGGAGTATGAGGAGACATCTGGGGGACTGGGATTATTCTCTCTCTCTCCCTTTTATTTCTATAGCTTTTTAAAAATAATAAACTTTATTTTAAGTGTAGTTTTAGACTCAAGCAAAATAAGAGGAAAGTACAGAGATTTCTCATATATTCCTGCCCCACATATAAATAGCCTGCCCCATTATCAACATCTCCCACCAGAGAGGTACATTTGCTATAAATAATGAACCTACAAATTATTCTCTTTCTTCATCTGGATTCTAGTTAAATGGGTATATTTAGTTAGTGGATTCTTTGAACACATATGTGCACTTTTCTGTATATACATTACACTTCAATAAAAAGTTTGGGAAAAAAAACCCAATGAATTCTACAGGTAATGTTAATATATTAACATATCTTATTAGTGTTTATGAATAAGTATGTACAGAGAACATACATAGTAGACATGACCCAAACATGAGTTTGTACATATATTGAATATTTCTCATGTTTTTGTAACCTTACTGTGAGATCCTGATTTACTCACATATTTCTAATAGTATGATTTAAAAGAAAGTAGGGTAGATTGTAATTCATTGCTATTCCCAGAGGGAGAATTTTAGGCAAGAACTGGATGAATATGTCAACATGTTGGTAAACAATAAAGGACTTATAAGAAAGGGATAGAAATGTTTATACTTGGGATTTTATTTACAATTTCCCCTTTTGAGGCTTAAGGACTTTGGGTGAAGGAAAGAAGGAACATGGAGATGATTTGTATACCAGCATACACTGGAACTTAAAAACAGATGCCCCAAAGAGCCACCCAAATCTGCTAGGAACCCAAATCTGTTTAATGGCTCAGTGCCCTCTAAGCCAAGCTCAGCACCAGAGGAGGTGGTGGTGAGTTACCCCTACAGCTGGATGAATGCTCGTTAATTCTCCCCACTCCTATCAGTGGCAAACACTGCTTGCTTCTCCATTCCTATAGCTTTGTGTCTGCCCTGGCAAGGATAATATACATTGGTTTTATGCAAAGTTATCTTCATGGAAGTTCAGAGTTATGGCAGAAGTCATTAGGAAGGGAAGGAACTGCTGTATTCTTATCTAGGTCTTCTTGAGGCCTTCTGTGGAATTGATTGATGTCCTGACAGCCCCCCAAGGAGTCAGCTGGCAGCTGGGACTGCTGTTACAAAGAGTGGAAAGAAGAATTACTCTGGTAAAACATTTTACTGGGAACATGGTACAGAATCTCATCCAAAAGCATCTTGTGTCTAAACTACTCTCAAGTTCGCCCCGACTGGAATGTGAACTTCCCAAGGCCAGAGATTTATGTCTGTTTTGTTAACCTTTGGGACCCAGCATATGGAACAGTATTTGGCATATGGTAGGTACTCTACTTATTGAATAATAAATTTTTTAAAGTGAGTAAAGTTAATAATATAGTAATATAAGTAGTGTGTTTGAGGGATGTTAGAGAAAAAAACTACCATATAGGGTCAATGGTTTTAATTAAAATTCTAATGTTGGTAGCTGGAGAAATTAAACTACAAAATAGATAAGAATCTTATCCAAAATCATATACAAGAATCAGGAATAAAAATTCTGG